TCCGTATTTTATTTTTATTTTCATTTATTTATAGGCGCTGTTTATTGAATGTCAACATGGCCCGCTTGTTTTCCAGGTTGCTGTGTACATAAATATGATAAAAATAGAAGTATCTTTATACTTTGCCACATTGTATTTTTATACTCTGTGTTAACTACTGTTATAACGGTGCTTATTAATTGTAGCTATAAAATCTAAAATAACGATTATTTTACTAGCGCTTTGCACATGTCTTTAAAAGCACTTTTTAAAAACTGAAGATCATATTCTATCCCAAGTAGTTTTGACGTAGCAAACGTCTATTCTTTCATTAATAAAGCTTATAAAACTGTTAATTAAGACACCAATAAAGAAATACTTTGATAACATTAAACTGTTACAATAACGTATCAGTAAAATTTGCAATTTTATTTTGGAAATCGTCACTGCATGCGATGTAATTGGCTTGCCAATTGGAATACGCAATTACAATTATCATATCGGCCAACAGTCGTATGTATAAAATTAATATTCGAATGGTCAAATGGAATCACTGATGTCCATGCCGATCTCCTGGTCTTTACTCACTCATCAAGCTCCTATGTAAAAATATCCTTCACCCTATTTCTAGCCTTATTTTATTTTGAAATGTATAACAGGTACCGGTTGTCCCTCCTGAACGCATGGTTCAACTTTCAGATTTTCCAATTTGATTTTGAAATTCTGCGAATGTAACATACTGTGGAGTGTGAATTGTACCTCGATATTTTGCAATGTGGAAGAAGGTGAAAACCAGAACATGATTTACTTATAAAATGTAGTATCTCATACGTAAATAAATAACAGTTAGTAAACCCATTATACAAAAGTACATGTAATATATTACCAATCAATGAATATTAACAGTTTTAATAACACTTCTGACTATCCTTTTTAGTGGTAAATTGGCATGTTGTTATGTTTTATCCATATTCACTTACGCTTGCCAATTTACACATGATTAAGCGCCATAGCTTGCAACTACCCATTGTGGGGTGCAGTGAAACGCTCACATTCCTCTTTGATTACTCATTCATGATCTAGTGTAATGCGATCATTATGTACCGCTCAACATATTATTTATACCTTTACAGGATCATCAGTAGGGAATGAATATGACGAGGGGAATTATTTCAAAACAAATCATTTATCACTGAACTATAATTTGCAAATTATGCAAGGGATGTTGTATTTACATATTTGTCTAGGGTACGTAGATAAAAACTTGTTCAAATAAAAATAAATGTAACCACATTATGACATAGGTAGATAATAAAATATGACAGTACCCTACTTAATATTATAGAGGAAAATAATTTATTTTTGTGGCTTGTCATATTAACGTCAACTCGAGACGGTATCGGTCTCTCTGGACAGATCAAATTGTTCGTTCCGCTTTCAAAACCGTAAAGGCGTAAAATTGAGATAAGCTCAAAATAGACCACTTATACACCACGACCGTTTTCCATATCAGTGATAAAGAGAAGTTCTGGAGACGGACATTTTCATAATAGGAAAATTAATGAGAATTAACATCTGTTGATTGATGATTATTATGTTCATTTTCTTCTGGGGCGTAAGTAATAAGCCAGTTTTTTGTAATAAATCTTATTAGTCATTTACAGAGTGAATCTGTATTATAATTTTCTTACATCAAAAAGTAAGTATGAGACAGAATGATTATTATTCGAATGGTCAAATAATTATTATTATTCTATCTCAATAACTACCTTAGGTACATACGTAATGTAAAACAATATTTACATACTGTTAAACTAAGCAACGTCTCCATTCTATAACGAAGCCTATCACTGTCCCGACTGTCAGTAAACAAATAATCAGACAGTGCTGTAAATATAGAACCTTTCTTATAGTTATAAATGAAATCACAAATAGCGCAGACAAATCGATGAATATACATCTTAAATCATTTATTTTTACTCAGACGTTTAGAAGCATCTTGTCTACTTACATAGCCTTATGTATATTATGCATAGAATATAAAATATCTATGTATACATAAATGCGCAAGAAAATTAAAGATAACCCGTTACTTGCCGAAAAAAAACTGATAACAGCGCGCAAACTTTTCAGTGTATGTGTTATTCGGAAAAACCTCTCTACCATCTCGGGCCGAGTATGAAACATAACTCAATAGTGAGCGTAGGGATTCAGGGGCAACCGAGTGTAAAATGGTCGACATGGAGAGGCATTTTCAAACTGACCGGACAGTACCACCCTTTGCCTCCCTGAAATATGTTCGGTGCGCCGGTATTTGACATTCTTATATCCACACTCCTTGCTTTCACAAGTGTTAGATTGGAATTCATGTTTATTGATTTTCTTTGGAAGAGCATTTAGAGGATTTATATATACATTTTTCGTTTTATTATTTTCTTTTTATGGTGATTTTTAATTATTTGCTACGAATCCTGCCAGAATCTATGAAAATACATCATACATTACTATAGAACTGAATCTCTCAAAATGAAATCTAAAATACTAAAAAATAAGGCTTAAACTGTCAAACACCAAGCGGTCACCGGTGACTGCAACCTATTGTTCTTTAATTGTGTCTATAAATACGGTACTCGACGAGTTAATATACGAACAGACTTTTTCTTATGTATTCTTAAGTCAGTAATAAAAGGTACATTTACATTAAAAAAACGTTACATGTAAATGTTTTTCGAATTACACTGATACTGCACAAAAGACGTTGAGACTTAAAAACTCTAAGGAAGCATTACAATTTGTTAGTCCACAACCGTCGCTTAGAAGCCGTTCTCCCCCAATTGACTTCCCAACTTCCGAATGAAGTTAAGAAAGTGATATAATCTACGTTTACAATGTCCCGGGAAAATAAGTAATACTTTGAAGACAAATTTATATCTCCACTAACATCATTCTTCTTTTACCCTTAGGTACATTCATTTGATTTTACTACATCCGAGCTATCCTTCATGCTAGGAAATCCAAAGTGACTGCATATAACAGAAACAGATATTTATTAGTCTCCAGGGAACCAAACTCACGACTCCCGCGATAGTTTCGCCGAGGATGATATATCCTACAGCTACCCATCCAACGTGATCTATACAGATACATGGTATATTTCGAACTGACGTTCTTTCAACGCTGCAATCTTAGTTTTGTTCTCATTTTACGCCATAAATAGTAAATACATTGCGAAAATGTTTTGTACTTGTAAATCAAAATGGCCTCCAGCTTTGAGCTTTCTACAAAGAAAAGTCGGTAAAATCTTCATTATTATTATTTTCATATTTCTTTCTGCGTTTCATAATGTTTGTTGTCTGTGTCTTTGTTATTGATCTTAAACTTTGCTACAGCTTCCATTCGATTGCGCTGAAAGAAGGTTTCGCTAATCACGTTTATAACAGGGTTTACCTACCTACCATTTTCCAAAACCATTAGCATCTAACAACACACTGGTGTCTTATCAATTCCTCGTTAAGAATATTAAACTCATATTTATGTTTTAATTTCCTTCGGTATGCTGGCAATATTTAAAAATGATGTTATAAAAATATCGTGTTTCGTCGAAACGGGGAATTCCCGCGCATTCGACCGGAAAATAGCCGACATAAAGGTCCGACATTCTGCTCTGGCCGGGGCACGGACGCCGATAAAATATATATGAGGACCGCCCTCGCCGCAAGTGTCCTAATGTTGATAAAACCTGATAAATCAACACTCCCCGACCAAATATGCTCTCAAATCTTTATTTGTTAGAGCTGTGACACGTTTCGATGACTTTTTTATAGTTAGTAGAAATGTTATAGATTTCCAGAAAATTGGCATCATGCATTTTACTTTCAACGGTCTCAAGAATTTCATATAGACTACAATGTACTCGCTTTTGGGTAGTTTTGATTTTGAATAAAAGTAAAAGTTCGACTTCAAAGCATAATATCTTCTTATCACATCACTGAAAATACTGAAACCGACCGCCCCCACTAACTCAACTTGGTGATCAACAGTTGTCGATTTAATTAAACATTGACCGTAAAACAAACTTCACTCGTTTTAATTTATAAATATTTTTACCTGCCACCACCTTTAGGTACTAATTAAATAAGATTTTAAAATGTAAAGTAACGTGAATCTCAACTCAGACGCATAAATAAAGCACGCAACAAGATGGCGTCAGCGTCGGCGGCGGCGGTCGGTGTTGCCAGCAATTAATCTCCATTTCCCGCACGCGCCAAATCGCGCCGCCATTACTGGCTCTGTTTTATTTCATTAAATGGACCCGTCGAATTAATGCGCTGCATCGTTTACAAAACCGATGGAAGAATCGAAAAAACGGCATTGAAAGTTTTCTATGCCTCCTTTGTGGCGGTTTGTGGAAATTGTCCGACATTTTCTTTGTTTATTGAGGAAAAATAGTCTGTGAAGTCATTCAGCGATTCTTTTGATATCCTTTGTGTTGTTTTCTGAATCTATTTGAACCTATAAAGTAAAACATGAATATTTATAGTATTTTTATTCTACTAACAAAACAATTGTAATAAATGTATTTGCAATCCTTTTAGCGGTTTTGCCGGCTTTCAGTCATAGTACGCTCTATTTAACGAATTTATTGAGTCGCCAATCGTTGAGTTTGTAGATAACCGTTATTAAAAGAGTAAATTGACTTTCCGGTTTACATTTAAATTTCTGTTTCGATTTCAATATCCCAATTACATGAAACTACGTACTACTGTTACAAAATTACGTGGTTTACAAACTTTTTGGATTTTGAATAAAACATTAATTTGATTTCAGTGTTTCAGACAGCCTTACACGAAAATATGCGATGATATAATTTTAAGAGACAAAAAGAACACATTTTAGTTTCGAAAATAGCCATGTATGTAAACTATAAGCTATAAACTGAATGAGTTACATGTAACCAATATACCTCTTTGAGAGAGGGAATGAAATAAAATAAAACAATTGAATGAGCGTTGTATTGTTGCAGGTGCGAACGTTGTTCGTCAGCGGTCTGCCCATGGACGCGAAGCCGCGAGAACTCTATCTACTATTTCGAGCGTACGAGGTATGTTCTCAATTAATTACATTATTTTGTTGTACTTACATTGTGCAAAGACACACAAGCTATTTAATTAAAGTTACATTGCAGTTTCATTCTCCACTTCTTTTAATTTGGTAATTAAAATGTCCAACTCCGTACGTTATGATTAACGTGCCCAGAATAGGTACTTTTTCAATTGACCATTGAATTTATCCCGAAAAGCCAGCCAATAAGAACGAGTCCTAACAAAATATCCGGATCGGCAGAAATGTCAAAATATTTATCGAGGGAAAATAAAAACCGAAAACACCACCGTTTTCGTCACGCGACTAGATCTCGATTCGGATTACTGTACCGTAAATATCAAATGTCATGCTCCGATTCGTAATATTCGGATTGAATCGATTCTGTTTACCGATAAGGGGGATTACACTCGATCCTCGGCTGGCACGGATGGCACCACAAACATAAAGGTGCCTAAAGTTAAACCGGGGGTTAGTTTTAGTGTGGGTATCGCGTGACTACATCGCGCCAGGCACCGCCACGTACTGCCTTTTTTCGGTAGTTTTAAACATTATTATATGACTGAATAGAATTTTCCAACGACATGAATGACATAGACAATTCTATTAATTTGATTATGTAGTTCCATCTAAAAGTTAACCTCGTATAGGAAAGTTTTGATAGCAAAGTTAAAATAAGTATTGTTATTTGATTTGCACAGGGCTACGAGGGGTCCCTGCTAAAGGTTACCAGCAAGAATGGAAAAACAGCTTCGGTAAGTTATTTTCTCTTATTCGAATAATATACTTTTACAGCCTTACAACTGGTATTCTATCAACAAGTGTAAAAAATATACTTTATTAAGTAGATTGAGAACAGGTAAATGGCAGCTTCACCTTCTACCGCCGTAATATGTTAATTTTGTGAAGGACAGACGCTATAGGTACGATTCACATAGTTAATCGAATTATAACGATTGAGTATACTTACCTATTGACCTTAATATTACAAGAAAAAACGACATGACGAACAATTCTGTAATAACATAATTTATTAGGATTTTTTTCTATAGTTACACTATTTTATATGGCAAAAGTAAGTCATTCATAAGTATCGTGAAGCGCGGAATTTGTGCATTAAAATGACAGTATGGTATGTGGTATCTATGTACATACATACCATAAAATATTATATCTATGAGTTACATAAAAAATAATGTGACATAAAATATTATGCGCTACATGGTACATTTCTCTTGCAGCCGGTCGGTTTCGTCACGTTCCACACTAGAGCCGGCGCCGAGGCAGCCAAACAAGATCTTCAGGTTGGTATTGTCACAATAAACTCTCATAGCTCTAGAACTTATTGTAAACCGCTACTACTAAGCATTGAGTTTGAACCAATATCACGACAGAACGTCTTCAAACATATTGCGTCGGCATATTGGGACGAACTCAATAAAATATTTTATCCGTAGATAACTTACAGATAGAATCTAAATAAAATCTTACTAAAATGGTTTTATGTTTCCTACAATGCGGAAAATCACACAATAACAAAAAATATCCACGAACACTACAACGCCTAATCAGTTTGAATGGCTTCCGAACACAGTATGATAGGTTACACAAGGGTCGCAGTATCTCAATGAAAGACTGAGATATGTCCTAGGTATTCGAAGCTCAATACGCTATTGTAAATACTAAAACATGTATAACGCACGGTGTTACTAAACCTCTTCTCATCACATGCCTCAAACACAGCCAATGAGCACTATAGTTAATATTCTCATTGTAGACTTGGAATAACATTTTCCTGACTCGAGTAACCGCATCGTAAGTTATGCTAAACCCATGCACATACAGAATAGACCACGTCGGGTCATCAAGTCGATGTTATTGAGCTGTGAGGAGCCGGACTCTGATCGGTTATGTTACGGTGTAAATACGAGTTCGCAATGCATGTCACTGTTTGACAGGTTTTGATGTCACATCCCGAGCACTGTGTTCCGTCACCTTAGCAGGCGCAGGCGCGGACCTCTCGATTCTATCGAATCTATCCAAAGTAAAGACAAAATTGACGAACTTATTCTTGATGTCCCTTGTTTGAACCGTTACACAAAAATTGTCCTGGTCTAGGTTACTTATTTTTTTATTAAAATAATTATATTTTGGCAAATATGATGAAGGATAATTACTAAAGACATTGCAATTGAAATAATGTGGAACCGACGCCCTCCCAACCCGCGCTATCGTGTTGGTAAGCTGGGAGCTCGCGGCGGCCGACCCTTCCATCGTCATTATATCGGAGCGCCGCACCGCTCGCGGCTGTTCACAGCAGGGCGTCCGGTTCGACCCCGACATGCCGCAAACGATTCGGCTGGAGTTCGCTAAAAGCAACACGAAGGTCAGCAAGCCGAAGCCGGCAGTTGCCACAGCCGCGCCAGCTGCACACCCCGCATTGATGCACCCACTCACTGGACGTAAGTACCGCCGAACGCACACACCGCCCGGCGCTCGCTCGAAGCCCCCACATCCATACCGTACCTCTACACACTAATATTAGCACGACCTGTGTCTGTGCCATCCTCACACTATAATGCTCGTATCCTCACTGGTGCTGCCCGAAGGTTAGGCGATAAAGAGGATCTAAGTAGACAAGTGACGGGTACGACCGGGGCGTCGAGCAATCGCGGAGGGCAAGTATCTGTGACCGCTTACACGTACCACGCAAGGCCTAGCTCCGCGAAGCTATTGATTGATCTATCGGGTTCTTACCACTGTTGTCAACTTTTACATGTTTTCATGATAAGACATAAATTATTCTTCAACAGCATTATCGTTGTAAAAGTACATAAATAAAAAAATATATTGGCATAATCGTAGATTCGCCATTATTAAAATATTAATCAACTTTTTGATTGATTCTTATAATAGAAAATAATAGTAAGTAAAGAAAGTTTGAAGAACCGTGAAAACATGTGACAAGCACATTGTAAATAATAATTTTCTCTAGCAGTATTCTAATATCACATTCCTAGTTACGTCGTGCGAACGTTGATCTGTTTAACACACTGACACAGCTTGTATTTGTGCCGTGCGGCTGGTGACATTGTTGTTGTGGTGCAGACCTAGCGAGTCCGTTCTTCCCGGGCGGCGGCGCAGAGCTGTGGCACCACCCGCTGGCGTACGGCGGCGAGCTGCCGGCGCTGTCGCACGGACTGGTGCACCCCGCCATCCACCCACAGATGGCGCCAGTTCGATCCTACCTCTGACTAGCTGCCGCCGATAGGCCACACCACGTATGTTGTCTTATCTCACTTCAACAAGGCTTCTTCTGTCTACTCATCAGGGATTCATAATAGCTAATAACATTGATCACCTTAATGTTTGTTAAATATTGCCACAAATTCAATCATGATAGCCTCTAAAAGAAGGATACTGATGCTGCTGCTTTGCTAATTATGCCATTGTTTTCTTTTTAGTTACCTATCAGTTCGTAATTTTATTATTACTGTAGATGTATCAGTTTACAATGTATATATTTTCACATACTTATTTCCATATTTGCTATGTTGAACTAGTAAAATTAAGAGCAGTTAAGCATATTGCGTTCTACAAAATGTACAACATAATTGAAGATGCTGAAATTATTGCACGCTCTTAAAATATTCGGGATATAATCGTATAACGCAGAATGCTTTACTGCGTATTGAAGAGCGGTTTCTTATATACTTCCAACTTTACTAGGAGTTTGGACCTTATTATCATGGTAATAATGTCCAGACCCCCCTGACGCTGGGTGCTTGCGTGCTGCCCGCGCCCGCACTGGGGTCGCCCGGCGCAGCGGTGCCGGCGCACACTGGGCCCGCTGCACATCCCGCGCATCCCGCGCCTCCCTGCTCGACGCTATTCGTCGCCAACCTCGGACAGTTCGTCTCTGAACATGAACTGAAGGAAATTTTTAGCAGGTAAACCCTCAATACTACTCGTACGCAAATCCATGAGCAAATCTATATGTGCAAAACGCTTCAAGTTTTCGACTGCAAATAAATCATGCTATTTACATCATACAAAGTAAATTGGCAAATTTTAAATAATTTTCAATCCAAACGTTACAAATATTTCCAGTCGAAAAATAACACGATGTTATGTGCATGATCACGCAACACATAAGGTAATAAAACATATAAAAGCATTCAAAAATGTATGAAGTTAATAAAATTTAACTTTCCACAGTGCATGTTGCACCGAAAATCACAAAGTCGTCCACATAAAACATTATTGGGTTAAAATTTGTTTCGATTTTAGCTCTACTCTGTCTCACACAAACTGTTTCATTCAAAGAGAACATTAAATAAGAAACATTTGCTTGAGCTACATTGTTTATGTGAGATTTGAAGCCTGCACCCGTACCACCCTAAGCATGACGAACGTCACTATATCTCCACAGTTGTCACAACTAGTCGTACGTTAGCACTATAACACCACACAATATGAGCGCCGTGAATATTACTTTTTATGTTGTACGTATCGTGCCGCACACACCCACCGCGATATTTATGTCTCGACCATCAAACAGGATGACAAAATATCGCGCTGTTTAGTTCAACTTTTAGAATTTAGAAGCACTATACAACACAATATAACATTGCTTTCTATATTTGTACGAACATTTATAACGAGTGCAGTATTCTCGGAAATTAGTCACAAGATCCAAGATCCACAACATTAGGTTTTTATATCAAAGACACACATGTCATGAGGGGGGTACGAGTGGGCACAATAGAGTATGATGGTACAGCTGCCCGGGGTTCACTCGCCTGCGACTGCTGAGTGGCGGCAGCAGCGGCGGCGGCAGCTCGGGCCCGGTGGCTTTCGTCGACTTCGCTAACCCGTCGGACGCGGCCACCGCGCTAGCTCGCCTGCAGGGCGCGCTGCTTCTCAGCTCTGAAGGCGCCATCCACCTCGAATTTGCGAGGCATAAGATGGCTCACAACGGCTGGATTCTCGCACATGAAGTATGCACGTGCACTATGTTTAGTTACAAGTTCATACGTTTCGTTTTCTCGCTATATCGCGCAGGGTACATACATATTTTGCGTAACTGAAAAATATTTTTTTATCCTTAAATGAAGGATTGTGATAGATAAATTCATTTCAAGTCCATGGAGCCTAGCTACATAATAAATTCTTAATTTCTATGTGTTGATAACAATACTTCAGCTGTCATACACGGGACCAACTAAACACATTCGTGTATGAGGGTCGAAGGCAATAAACCTATGTACTAATGTTTCACCTGCACCTCGCACTATAGTTACATATTGCCTGCTAACTCGTAAGCCATAGAGATTGCCGCTATGAATGTTTGATCACCCATTAACGTGTGCTGCATTACGCAGGGAGCCAAAAGCGGAGAAGAGGGCGAACAGCATTAACTCGTTCGTAGCTCTCGGCACTTGACAACCAGCTCACTGAGGGACGCGCTATCTGGATCCTCTGCATCGCATCGGGCCGGCGGCACCAGGAGACCGGGCAGACCATCACCCGCAACCCTTACGTCCTCACTAGAAGCTCTGTCTCCTATTTTGTTATGTTTACTGACTCCCTGCGTCAGAGGTGTGGTGTTATTCGTTTATACCAAAATTAGCAAGTGTTAATTGTATTATTATTAACATTCCAGGTTATTGTTTACTGTTCATGGTAAAATAATATTATTTTAATCTATTAATTTCCTATAAATGTAGCATGTTTATTTAATTTTATTATTCGATTTATCATGTAACATAAGATTTATTTACAACTAACTTATTGTACGGTAAAGTTTGTATATTTGTTTTTACAAGGCCGATGTATACAACTGGGAGGATTTATTATGGATATAGTTTATTACCAGAAATTAAACATTTTAGGATATATCTCATTCGAGTAAGCTAAAAACCAAAGGTGCCCTTCATAGAAAGATTACGTTTTGTTAAATGATATTTCAAGTTGAATGATTTAAATGAATTTGTATGTAATGATACGATACTTTTGTTTTAGCCTCGATAATGTTAGCGTATTTAAATGAATTTCATGACTATTTCAAATTATATTTACCCAATACTTTCTTAGTAATGTTTATAATATTCAATCACTCGTTAAAGCGCTGGCACTCTAGTGTTGGTCTTACGATCCTTTCTATCTGTAAATTAAATAATTGTAATGTTATAATGTTTGACTAGGACTTGATGCGATAGGACGGGGAAGCCCTCGGAGCCGCTTGTCGAGTGCAACAGGACAGTGCCGCTGAACAGTCGCGCGACGTGCGCACGCGCATCCTCTCCTACTTGTTATGTTATCTCTCTGTTCGATGAGTTTGTTATGTCCTTTCTCTACTTAGGTGAATACCAAAATTTCTTGTGCCTTGCGAAAAAAAAATCTTAAAATCGAATTTAGATTTTACTCCAGACATGGTGGTCAGTGAAGTTTGTTTATTTGTACGTTCTGTATTGTACCTACCACTACGGGTTCCCTCACTCTTCGCGGTTAGTATGCGATGCGACACAATCGAGATCAGTTCAGTCTTGTCTCTTGTTGCGAGAATTTAGCCTTGGCCTTATGAGAGTTAAATAATTAAATGTAATCATTATATTAATAATTAATATATATAGTTGAAACTAGTCGGCGACGTGCGCGCCGACGCTGAATAGTAAAACGTTATTCTACTATCTGCATGCTTTGACGAGCTTTTTGGTAATAATCTAATTTAAAATGTAGTAGTTACTTTTATTGTGTAATCGTTAGGTGAGTAATATAATGTTAGATAAGGGTATTTATTGTAGACAATCAGCATAGTTACATTACTATTTAATGAAAGTTATTCATACATAATAATGAAACAATGTAATGAAAATTAAATTTACTGAAATGTTAGGATTAATCAAAATGAAGATTAATATATTTTTTATTTTTAGCTAGTTGACTATCGCATTCAGAATGATTACTTAGTTACCTACGTGTCGACATAAGTACACTACAATGCGAGATAGCAATAAACCAAAAATGAAATATTAATGTTATTATAGGTACCTATTTAGTGACGTATTCTGCTGATGTAAACGTAAAATTTACAAAAAAAAAAGTAAAAAAAAATCCCTGCTTAGGCTATAAAATAAGGTTTTGGATATTTTGGGTTACAACGTTGACGCGACAGAAATCTGTTGAGGTACTCATGCGACTCTCGTCGGTCGCCGGCCAGAGACTCCGCATGTGAATTCTTATGAAATCTCTTAGTCAATATTTAATAGAAATTTCGTCAATTTTTGACTTAGCAAAATTTTATACATTGTTTATAGTAACTGTAATATCACAATGTACCGAACGTCGTGGCGTATAGACCAAAGATAAAGGATTATACATAATTTTAATACTAACCTCAGACCGTACCAAACTTGTATTTTGTAGGCTCATTGTACTGCGACGTTAAGTGGACACGACAAATATATGAGAGCCACAGCAGTGCAAGCAGACATCATTTGTTACGACACAAGTAAGGCTGATGCCGCGGTGATACACGAAGACACCTAGGATAGGCATCTTATTGTACTGTTTTCATTGTTACCTACTTTTGCTAATGTTAGAGACGAAACAATCAATTTATTAAATTAAATATACATTTCGATTCAGTTTTATACCCAAGCCATTAATATCAAATGTAAATCAAACATGTATAATAATGTTTTATGTCACATGAAATCTCCAGACAGATTCTGATTCTCTTATATGTATATTATTCATTATTCATTGTGGGTTATAATGTTAAGCTAAGTCAATGTTCACTTATTTAATTCGATATATAATGCTAATTCGTGTGTAAGTAATTGTGTAATAATGTAGTAGTGATCTCCCATACCTTCGGCGAGCGGCGTCCTCAGGCGCATACTGAAATACAACGAAAAGTTTATTTTTTCTTTTCAGTTGTCCTGCGTTAGTCTGTCGATGTCTCTATTGCCTTTTTGACGATCAATTTTAAGCTCTCTTCTGTCAAATGTGTGTCATCTCTTTGAAATCTCTATGATAGTTTTATTGTAACCTGTAGAGACACCGACAGGCAACGGTTAGTTTAGCGAGGCCCGACCCGGTCACCGCACGCGTACGTTGCGTGGCGAGGGCGGGCGGTGCGCGCAGGACGCCGTCGCCGCCATGATTCCGTCCAACAACCTTAGATAGCGAGTAAGAGACGTCCAGTGGCTGCGGACACGGCTACGTCACCTTTTGCGGGACTACTCGA